CATTAACCACCTTTTTATATTTAGTAACTAGTTAACTTCGATATCACGCCTGGCTCACCAGTTCCATCGACTAGACCAAAAGAGTGATTCAATCGATACAGAGGTGCACTTGAAGTGGGTGTGCTACCCTAGTGGGTTGAGCCCTTTCCCATAAGGCCCCACCGTCAGGGGCTCAGGGCATAAGTGCCCTCTTGCTACCCATATACGACGCACCATCATAGCCTTCCTTGACCAGTATCGCTCCCAAACCTGTAGTGTTCATGATCGGCCTCCTCAACTGTGTATCAATCAAAAGGTAGGGCGGCACAGCCCCCAACCAAGGGAGTGGTTACGTCCGGTATGTCCCCCTATTTTACATTGACATGATCATGGTAGGCCTCAATGAATACAAACATAAGTTATTTGGTAAAATAGTACTTTTGATATTTTATACATATGTACCCTATGTGTCATATAGTAGACTCCTTTGTTCTTAAGCCATGTGTCCAATCAAACTATGTCAAATAAATAGAAACAGAGCTGGCAACTATACTAGTTCTTAAGTTCTTCTTAAGAGCAATGCCTCCGGCTTTTTCTCCCCAGAAAGCTAAAATCAGAATAAGAAGCTAAGATAGGAGGATGCAGAACAAGCTGTAGATTGGAAAGCCTCATAAAGGTCCTTAAAATATAAGAATGTTACTAACATTTCTAGGAATAGTATAAACGAAACACGTGAAAATAACGTTGGATATTTTCTTGGAAAAACAACATCTATACTCTCGATAAGTGAAATGTATCATCTAAATTGAGACAGAGAAAGTAATTAGTAACTAGTTATATAACTTCGATATGACGCGTGGTTCACCGGTTCCACCGACTAAACCAAAAGAGTGATTCAGTCGATATAGAAGTGCGCTTGAAGTGGGTGATGTGTTGTCCCTATTGGGCTAGGCCTTTCCCCATAAGGCCCCACCATTAAGGCATATGCGCCTTCTTGCTACCCATATGTGAGGCACCGTCTTAACCTTCCCTAACAAGTATTGCTCCCAAGGCTGTAGTGATAATGATTGGTCTCCTCAACTATGCATCGATCAAAAGTGTAATAAGTTCAATTTAAAAATCTTAATGATTAAACCCATATCTATATTCAATAAAATCTACCTCTGCATGTCATTGTACTCAAGAAACACCATACCCATATTCCGTACATTAAAATTTTGAAAAATGGTCATATCTTTTATTTGAAATCCTTAAAATTAAAAGTCCAATGGGGCACCGGTTAAGCACTTCGCTCATGTGCCCGCCACCTTCAAATTTTGAATCCGCCTCTCTGAATATTGACACCATATGTCAAGGTACCTAGTGAAGATTTTATTCACACCAAAGATTTTAGAAGAAGTTCAAACCATCACCTTCCGCAGAAATCGACGCCATGTTGAAGAGAAAGAAGAAACTTTCCGATGGGAATAGACTTTTAGCGACTTTAGTCTCCCCGTTTCTTGTGTAAGATGAAGTAATTCTTAGGAATTGAAAATCTGCAACTTTATCAGGAGTTGAAAGGGCGATTCGTAAATATAATCATGGATTTATGAAATATAAATACTTTAGGATATAGAACACTTACCCCAACCAAGCTTGTAAAAAATCCCTCCAAAATCGCCTAAATCCGAGCTCCAAAAATCGAAAACGAAAAATGGCGAAATGACCATTTTATGTTCTGCCCAGATTCCGCGCGGACATTTTAGTCGCACCTGCGACCTCTCTTCTGCGATACCCACTGACCACTATCCTCTCGCACCTGTGGAGGAGTTCCGCTTCTGCGGTCTCGCAGGTGCGGGAAAATTTTCGCACCCGTGACCACCGCCCAGGCCTGCTCCTTTCGCATCTGCGATCTAAACCTCGCATCTACGATTGTGCATCTGCGCTCCATTTCATCGCATATGCGATGACATTAGTGGCAGATTTCCAACAGTTCCTTCAAGTCCAAATCTTGGTCCATTTAACCATCTGAAACTCGCCCGAGGCCCAAGGGACCTCAACCAATTATACCAACATGTCCCAAAATATAATAAGAACTTAGTCGAGGCTTCAAATGACATCAAATAATGCTGAAATTTACGAATCGCGCATCGAATCAAATTTTGAATTTTCAAATCTTTCAACTTCTATATTTTGCGCCGAAACGTATCAAATCAATCCGGAATGACTTTAAATTTTGGACACAAGTCATAAATGACGCAATGGAGCTATTCCCATCTCCGAAATCGAAATCCGACCTCGTTATCCAAAAATTCACCCTTCGGTAGGATTTTTCCAAAAATCTTCTATTTTTCAACTTTCGCCAAAATATGTCGAATTGTCCTACGGACTTCCAAATCCGAATCCGAACATACGCCTAAGTTTGAAATCATCATACGAAGCTATTGCCATCATCGAAATTTCATTCCGGGGTCGTTTGCTCAAAAGTCAACTCTCCGGTCAACTCTTTCCATTTAAGCTTGTAAATAAGAATTGTTATTTTAATTAAATTCTGAAAATCAAACTCGACCACACCCACGGGTCATAATACATATTGCGAAGCTTTTCGAGACCTTAAGCCACTGAACGAGGCGTAAATTCTCAAAACGACAAGTCGTGTCGTTACAGAAAATAAGTAGCCCGACTATTCAACAATGGGCACCTTCGAGAGTTCTTGAGCGACCGGGCCAAGAATCATTTCAGGAACAGGGATTCTAACACACACACAGAACAAGAAGATACCAAACCTCAACACGTCATTAATATGATCATCGGTGGAGTCGATATCCCACAAGGGCCGGTGTTGAAATGCACCAAAGTATCCATCACTAGGGAGAAACGAACTCGAGACTACATACCCAAAGGAATCTTATCTTTCAGCACGAGGATGCGAAAGGGATCATACAACCTCACAATGATGTACTGATAATTTTGTACTCATAAATAAAACTAGAATTAAATGTGTGTTAATTGATCTAGGTAGCTCGGCCAACATCATTCGGCCGAGGGCCGTGGAACAGCTCGGTCTATAAGACAAAATCATACCTGCAGTCCGAGTCCTAAACGGGTTCAACATGGCATGTGAAACCACCAAGGGAGAGATAACGTAACTGATCAATACCGCCGGAATTATACGAGAGGCCAAGTTTTATGTGATCGAAGGGGTAATTTTTCATGCTATTGTCTTCTCATTTAGAAGTGCTACATTCAACAAAATGGTCTTTCGGCTTTTGTAGGATATTTTAGTAATTCATTTTTGGGCTTTGGGCCAGATAAGCCAGATGTTTAAGTATGAATAGAGTCCAAGAACTAAAAAGATCCAGGGGTTGACCCTTTGTAAACGTCACAGCGGATGACCCATAGCCTTTATTATAATCATAGAAACTATATGGTAATTGAAAGACTACGGACATGGTCCAAAGAATCTCGATTGTAGTTCCATGAACAATCCTTTGCGGGATTAGATTTATTTTGTAGTGGAAATGCCATAAAGCGCAACTGTCTACTTCCTACGAGTCTTTTTTGCAATTTCATCCATCTTTTTAAACTTGATACCTTTGTGGAGGTCATATCTCAAGTATTATTAGTAGTTGACTCTATAGCTTCTTCAATAAACGCTGATTTTTCGACCAAGTTTTGAATGACTTTTTAGTTAGAGCAAGGAGGCATCAGGGGAAACCTAGATTCAAGGTCGGAAGAATCGGAAACAAGGCCATTTCCTTCGCCCTTTCTTCTTAGTCTGAGGCATCTAGGTCCCTCTCGTCCTATTGTATGCACGTCGGCATAAGAACCGGTCCGAACAATCCCAGCAATAGCCATACGGTTGTCTTCGTCCATCTTTTTTTCTCCATGCTTTCTGCTGGTCAACAACCAACCAAAGTGCTCTATACATCTTTACTACTCGTGCAGGCTTGACGAAGTTCTTCTTCTTATAGGGCGTTTAAAGAGCGTGACTCTTTAGTTTAATTAAGTTCAACTTAAAAGTCAAAAAAAAGGAAATTTCCTGTCTTAGTTTCACTTCCTTGAACTGGATACTACCGCGCTACGTGCCCTTGCTTGGTGGCTCGTTAATTAATTAGTTTTAAAAAGAGTGATGAATTTCGACCTTTAGTGCAAATATGGTATCTAGTCGTACCGATACCTAGACATCCTTATTTCGCTGAATAAACTAATTCTGAAAAACCTAAAGGAATACGAAATTGCTGGCTTTTGACCATTTGCTAGCCTTGGATATTTTGGCTGTTTTTTAGCTTCTGCATATCATAATATTCTAATTGATATCTCATTAATAGGATTTGTGTACAACACTTCCAATTTCATCCAGGTTAGAATCACTGAATGTTTCCTATGCATCATTTAAAAGATTCAAACTTTTAAAAAGTGCATTTGTGAATGAATTCATAAATTGTCTTTGTTAAGCAACCTCCTAGCTTTGAATTTGACTTTAAAGCAAGCTCCTAGTGTTTATGGAAGGGTAAAATATGTTTGAACAACTCAACTTCTAAATATAAGTTTAAAGCGGGTTGCTGTAGTTATTTATATAGAGGACGATAACACATTTGATCATTTATCTTTTAAGAAGTACTTGCAGAGGGCAGTCCGATGCACAAAGCATTCCGCATTCACACAGGTTCAGGAAAGAGCTGCACCCCAAGAGGTGTGATGTAAACAAATCTACCTTAATGCAACCATTAGTGGTTGCTTCCACAGCCCGAAATTGCAAAAGAGCTTCAAGCTTCAATCTGTAAGTTGAAGAAAAAAAAAAGGGCAGCCCGGTGCACTAAGCTCCCTCTATGCGCGAGATCCGGGGAAGGGACGGACCACAAGGGTTTATTGTATGCAGTCTTACCCTGCATTTCTGCAAGAGGCTGTTTCCATGCAATTCAATTGGTAAGTTGAATTGCGTGAAAAATCGATCACCATACGAATGCAGGAATGAGCATTATTCTCCAATAACTAGACCAAAGACTCATAGAAATAGACCAGTAAAGATAACAAGGAAGAGATGAGAAACCTATGCATAATCAATTCAAACACTTGCAGATCAGAACATGTCATAAGTTATGTTCAATAAAGTGGCTTACAGAATTACTAAACTTAAGATGTTTAGTCCAAGTGCGAGCAAAATATTATGTAATATTTGCTTGTTAAATAGATAAACAACAATTAGGTTAGGCCATTGACAACACCAATGACAGAGAAACATCTGCTTCGACAATGCAGCAATCTTTGACAAGGAAGCCTCTTTTTGGATCCTTGAATTCATGTAGCGGCATAAATGCATGCAAACCCAGACTGTCATCAACAGCTGAAAACCAATTTGAAAAAACTGCAGGAGAACAATGTCGAATTATTCAAAGGAACTAATCAAATCTAGAAAGCAATAAAATGAAGGATCCGTTTGATAAAGATATTGAAAATGCTTTTTAACCATGTAGAAAATTGACTTTTAAGGTGAACGAATTCAACCAAACTTAGCTCAAAAATAGAGAGATATAATTACTTTTGATTTATTAACTTAGCCTCTCAACAGTTGAGTCAGGCTAATGTCATAGTAACACACTGTTTAAGGGAGGCTAATAGTGGTGCGGCTTATGTAGCAAAGAAAATCACCATGGCTCTGTTTATCAGACTTCCAGAGATCTTCCTAATGGTGCCAATGGTCCCTTCCTGTTAGACAAATTTTAGATGCCTTCCATTAGGCTAAGATATGACAAGGCTAATTTCTTTGTTAGTTAGTCCAAGTTAGAATGTGGGGTGGCAGAATAAATTTTTGCTTTTTATGTCATCCCTCTTGTACTCTTTCTCATAAATATAAAATATCTGGTGAACTAAGCTCTCACTATGCGCGAGGTCCGTGGAAAGGTCGGACCACAAGGGTCTATTGTACGCAGTCTTAACCTGCATTTCTGCAAAATGTTGTTTTGACGGCTAGAACTTGTGACCTCCTGGTCACATGCCAGTAACTTTACTAGTTACGCCAAGTCTCCCCTTCCAATGGGAAATGTTATAAATAAATTTAAGAAGTCCTCTTATCTTCCCCATTATGCATTATTTACCATGATTACATCCACCTGAAAATCAGTTCAAATGAATAATGGTATATTTTCAGAAAATTCAATCTGCCAACGATTGAAAATGGTTTATTAGAGAACATATTTATAGCAACAGTATGACAATTTATCTTTCACTCCCTATGAACGTCAAGAATGGATTTTCTTTAAAATAAATATAGTTTATGAAGTCCAAACTTTCTTCTTAACAAAGAGAACTTTAATTATATGTAGTTTCCCAATCAAGGCAGATATAACCTATAAGGAGGAAAAGACAGAGAAATTCTTTTTTCTTCCAAATCGATGCACCTACTAATGCATGAATTTATATTAAGGAACAAAGAGAAAATACTAACCTTTCTTGTGATGTTCACCACTTATCTGGTCTTTGACAGAAAGAGTGACTTTTGCCTTAACCCTTTTTCGGCAACCAAATCCCTCAGCATCAACTGATGTAAGATAGATAGAGATGCTTTGGTCCCTTTGACAACAAACACCGTTAGGATAAATCCGAATTTTCCTGCATCCAAACATAAATTCCTGCATCAAACATCAGGTATATGAATACATCAAACACCAAACTGAAATAGTCCTGCATCCAAACATAAATTCCTGCATCAAACATCAGGTATATGAATACATCAAACACCAAACTGAAATAGTCCTGCATCCAAACATAAATTCCTGCATCAAACATCAGGTATATGAATACATCAAACACCAAACTGAAATAGTCCTGCATCCAAACATAAATTCCTGCATCAAACATCAGGTATATGAATACATCAAACACCAAACTGAAATAGTATATAACGTATATGAATACATCAATCGGGGGCAGATCCAACACTTCGGTACCAGGTTCAACTGAACTTAGTACTTTAGTCGCGGAGTACAAATTTGTGTAAAATTCATTACAGTTACAACAAATAGTAGATGTGAACTCATAACTTTAAAAACATAATGGATTAAATGCTAAAAACTTTAAAGGTTGAAACCATGGAATTTAAATCCTGGATCTGCATCTGACATCAATGACATACCATTTGTAATCCCCAACAGAAAACTCTTTAGAAAAACAAGACTCCCCTAATTTTGAAAACTCAAAGATCTTCCATTCGTGCTTATTAGTCTCGATGTCTTCCAACATCGACACACATTCACCAACTCATTGGCTCTTGACGACGAATACCTCAGCTCCGATAATGATACTGTCATCGACAAGGTATCCATCGGACTGCTCTTTCAGTGCTTTGTGAGAGATAAACTTGGAGAAACCCCATTTGGACTTGACCTTGTGAAATCGCAGCACTTGACCTGAAGCAATAAATCATATATAATCATTCCTATAATCTTATGTCCGAGTTCAGATGGAAAAATATCCAACATAGAAGTTCCAGAAAATGCTCTATATCGAATTATCGATCAAATAGTTGAAGGAAAAGGGAAAAAACGAATGTAAAGTAGAAGAATGTAAGAGGATATGTACCACGTATAACAAGATAGTTCTCACAAAGATGATTAAACAAAAAGAAGCTAAACACAGCATTAGCCTCCCAACCACCAGGTAAGGAGCTGTCATTCGCAATGGCCAAGTAGACAGAGATGTAATCGTTTCCCTCTATGTTGTCATCCCCATTGGGATAGATGATCAACTTCCTGCACCAAGTCCGTTAACAACTAATTTCCATAAATTCATATCATGGTACAAGAAAACAACGACATTGTGGGAAATGCGACATCAAGAATGTGCATTAATCAAGTCTAACTTCTGTTTTTAAATATAAAGCACGTATTGAGTTGACTTTTAGTGGATCGAATAATAGTTATTCCTTATTATACTTTTAACTGTCAAACATAATCTTAACCTTTGTTGGTCGGACTCTCCTGGATCCGTGTCGGATCCTGAAAAATTGGTGTATTTTTGGGGGATCGCACACGGGTGCGGCAGCATTTTTGAGAGTATCTTAACCTGATTTCTTAGATTCATGTCTAGAATTACATAACTCTTTCTTCATGTGATGAGGATTCCGCCAACTGCACTCTGAAATACACTACAAATGCAACATGAGTAATCTGCATCAGTAGCAACTAATTTTAGCTTTCAAGAATGATGCACTCCTGCGCTTTGGATGCTAAGTATAATTCTTTAATTGATTCTCCATCGCATATTTAGGAATAGTTCTGCAAATATGTCTACAACTTTTTTAAGTGAACACTCTCAATGCCATCGACAAGAGCGGACCAAGCTTACAAGTTATGGGTTCACATGAACCAGTAGCTATTTTGTCCAGACCATGTGTATGTATTAAGAAATTCACTAAAAATTCCTTTTTCTGGAGAAATGCGACGGAAATTCAAAAGAATCGAGAAAATAACAATGGATGTTCATTACCACTTATAGCCGCAGGCCTCAAATTCATTTGATTCATACATGTCAATACCATTCTCTGATAGTTTGTAAAAAGATTCAAACTTCATCAAGTAGTGTGATGGGGATGCATCCCTNAACTCGAACCCCAAAATTCATTAAAGATGGAGAGCGGCGAAACTAGGATTTTATCCTTATGAGTTCTGAATTTTTTTAATTTAATATTTCTACATATTTGATGAATTTTAAGCACCAAATACATTGTTTGAGCAAAAACCACTGGGTTCCCACTGGGTTCCCGTAATTCGGCTTATGCCTCTGCCCCTGATGGAGAGTTAGTTATCCCCACCACCATCTTTGGTTCTTAAAGTAAAAAAAGTACTAACATCTTATAGAATAAAACAAATAGAATATAAAAAAAAAAATTCAAAGTCAAGATTTTGATGAAGAAAAGGAGGACCAAGAACCCATAGTTGCAAGATTAGGTGATATGATCAAGAGTGCAAAACTAAAGAAGAAGAACCAAAGCCTTGAATATTATTTGTGTGTGTGTGTGTAAATTACCTTCCTCTTCACAAGGAATCAAAGCCATACTGCCGGGAGGTAGAAAGTGAGAGACCTCTGTTCAAAAACAAAACTGACTGCGCACCCTAAAAGGCTAAAAAGCTTCACTATATAAGGAGACTCCTGCTTCACCACTATGCTAACGAAGAGATTAATATCAACTTTTCAAGTTCCCGTTTTGTCTTAAATAAACGTATTTTTACTTTCTTCAAATACAATGCGAAACTCTATTATTTAGAATTTGTAATCAACTACAATTTTACTTATTAATCATTTTCTTATGTGAATTACATAACATAAATATAATATATTCATATTCTTTTTCCTAATAGTACTTAGGAATTTTAAATCAACTAGAATTTTGCTAACTGAATCTTTTCTTATTTTAACTATGTAAAAATTTAGTAAGAAATCACTATTGCCCCAGTTTTCTCCATATATTGCCTAAGAATAATTTTATCCTTCTTCTTACTCGAATTTATTGCCTAAGCATAATATGATTTTATCTCTCTTTTTTCTTTGCTCTACTTGAATATATTTAAGCATGTATAGTATGACATTCACCTATATGCTTTTTGGTGGCTTGATTAAGAAATACAAATGATAGTGAAAATTTGATAAAATTTTTGGTTAAGCGCAATAAGTTAGCTCACAGATCATTGCTTAGTATCTTCACAGATCATGAATGAAGCACTGCCAAAACTGCTTTACTTGGAAAAGGATAAACTCAATCAAAAATATATCCCAGTTCACTATGTCAAATCGAAAATTTAGAAAACATACTACAGAGACAAGAAAACCTCTTAAGACAACATATGTTTTAACCTTTCTCAACAACAAAAAAAAAGGGCAAGATAGTTTTAAAACAAGAATCTAAGTAAATTTGGGAGGACAAAACCAAGGTAAACTACAACCTCAGGTGAAAGGAACCATTGCCGAATGCAACACAATGTTTACTTGAAACACTTAGCATCCAACAGAGCCTCTCCCTCAAAGGGCTCGTAATCCTCAATCATTTGGTTGACACGCTCCTTCTGTGCTTCATCGTTGATGTCTACTTCCTTCCATTCATAGAGCTCCATGTCATAGCATTCATCCATAACAAACTTGGGAATTTCTTTTCCACGGAAAAGCCACAAGCCCTTCACCTTATATGGGGCCTCAGAACCAATTACCAACATCTTACCAAAAGCATACTTGCGAGCCAGATCCATTCTCTGCAGAAAACCACCAACCTTGTTCAACGTTACAAATGAAACTGTGTTCTCATCCTGGTACTTGTAATCACAGAACCAGAGAGAATATCCTTCGGGATCATACATGTCCCAGAAACCTGCAAATCAAGAACAGTACAAGGAACAAGTTCAAGTATATTCTTGTGGGAGTGGAAAATTCCTTCTTCTAGTACTAGGTTTCCAAATTCTAAACCCCCATATCCATATACTTGAAACTAAAAATTGTCAGAAGATAAAACTTTCTGTAAAGATTAGTGTTTAACTAGATCAATCAGATACAGAAGATCATAAATTGATCATTCAAAAGAGAGATTCAACAATGAAAAACGGAACAACCCTCGGGGACCTTCCTTTCCTCGAACTAATTATAGGTTACAGAATATTTTTTACAAAAAATCTAAGCATGCACTGATCGAAGAAAGCAAATATCTTTAAATAACTAATATTGAGATATCTCTCTAAACTTTGATAAGAAAAATAGATTACAGAAGCAACTAATATGTACCTTTAATGGCAACCTCGCGGAAGTTGGTTTTGGTGTTGGAGTAAAGCCTCTTCCATTCATCCAGAATCATCTTACTTGGAGGCAAGAGATCAAGAGGATTCTTTGCCTTAGGCTTGGGTGCTTCTTCCTCCTCTTCAAACTTTGGTTCTTCCTTCTTAACCTCTTTCTTTGGCTCCTCCTTCGCTTTGGGTTTTGCGAGTTCTTTCGCCGGTGCAGGCTTCTTGGATAGGGGAGCTGGGATAGAATCAGCTTGTTTCACCTCACCCAATATCTTGCAGAAATTTGGCTGATTAACCACAGTCCAGAAGTATCTCTCCACATGTGGGAATTCCTTGGTAAAGCTCTTAGTCATTATCATCCTAAAACCGATGCTCAAGTTGCAGCCCATTATGATGTCGGCCAATGTGATTGAATGTCCAACCAAGTAAGTGTTAGATGCCAGATGTGTGTTCAAAGCATCAAGAGCTCTCTTTAATGCAGCTACTGCAGCTTCCTCGGCCTTTTTGCAAAACAAGACGATTTCAGTTGTTTTGCTTTTTTCTATTATTTCAAGAAAAATTATAAATAATGCACAGTGCGAAACATACTGGAGGAATATATGCACCATAGCCAAGGCGTGGATATAGCCATCGTGCAATGTTTGCATCAATCTCAGTGGCAGAAAAATCATTCCATTGCTCGATTTGAGCCTATCAAGGAGAAAGTGAACATAAATCAAGAATTAAGAATTTCACATATGAAAAAAGTAACTGCTGAATGAATGAAACTAAGAAACCAAAATACTTACATATTCAATCAATGATGAACCAAAAAGGGGATTGTCGGGCTTCGATTTAGTAACTACATGAATTAAAGGTCAATGTCAGATACTCAGATTTAGTTTCTGTTATATGATCATAAGTCAAAAAAAAATGAGAAATAGCCTCACCATAGCGTGCAATAGCATTGCTCTCGAAAACAGGTCCATCGGGTGTTTCAAGCACAGGAACCTATATGTCAAAAAAAAAACACCAACCAAGATTAGCAAAACCTTGTCTGAAGTACATGAGAAAATATATACGGTTCTGTAGAATATAACATACCTTTCCAATTGGATTCATCTTGATAAACTCAGGTGTCTTGTTTGATACACCCATCTCGAAATTCTTTGCAAGTTCAACCTTTACACCTGTGTACTCAGCAGCAATGAGTGCCTTTGAGGCATTTTTGTTGTTATTTGTTGAGTGCAAAACCTGCAACATATATAATGAAGAAAATTTAAATGCGAGGATATCGTCAAGAAATTTCATCCCCAAGAAGAACAGAATACAATTGGACATATCATCTGCACTTGTTCTTAAGAGAGTTCTGCTACTGAAAAAGTAGCTGAGGAAAAGCTTCTAGCATTCATGCATAATGTCCCATTTTAATCAATCGGAACGCAGAACCTCAATTCTCAGCTAGCAATCCAAATAGATTTGGATCCTCTGATGTTTTCTCCCATCCAACAGATTCAATAAAGGCACAATATATCATCAAGTTAAACACCTCAAAAATCCTAAAAACTTTCAAGATGCCACATTCTTCATAATAAAAAATAATAATTTGAATGCCATTTGACTCAGCGGATACAGAACCCTCCAACAGATACCTGGTCTTCTGTGTAGGTTGTCTTTCTCAAGGGAAAAGAGATGCTTATAGGACAGAGCAACTAAAAACAAAGGGCCATACTAAGAATGTGAAGCCCCCTCTCTATAAATAGAAAAAAGGTTCAGCATTCTCCACTCAAGGCAAGGCACCGAAGGGTGTTGCCTAGTGATCAATGAAGTGGTAGGAGAACCATGAGTTCACATGTTCAAACGACAGCAGAGGCCAAAAACGTGTCAGCCTAATTCTAGGTGGGCAAAGTTACCCGGTACTTATGATAGTGCGACGTAATAAGTAATCAGTGGAATTGTCAAGGTGCGTGCAAGAGGTCAAATGCTATCTAGAAAAGGAGAAAAAAAGGGACTTCACAGTTCAGCCAATACAGTGATAAGCTCTCTACTTAATTGAGTGTTTCATACATGCAAAAATACTTTAGGAGAAGACAAATTCAAATAGCCAATAGGCATAGGTAGATGGAAAATTCAGCAAAATAATTAACCACCGGTTAGATTTTATAACTATAAAATTCATATTAACACTCAATTCTAGAAGAGATAAAAATAAAATTATTAGACATCCAGATAAAGAACTTAGCAAAACAAAATACAGTAATAATTCAATAAAAACTACAAACCCCACAACCAAAAGAACATGAAATATACTAACAGATCGAAAACCCCGTAGTAAAGATAGAAATCTTTAGCTATAAAATCATAAAGAATTGAAAACCCAGATCTATTTTTTTAACATCAAAAGGAATCAATAAAGATCTAAGAAATATACCAAAGCCATGGCTGCACAGTTGAAACTTTGCTCACCCTTTTACACCCAAAATTAAGCAAAGAGAGGCAGAAAGAGAGAAAAAGAGATTTTAGGGTTTCGCAGTGATGTGTCTATATATGTAATGTAGTGGCCCTCGTGAGCACGGGAACATGGACAATTTTGGAATACCACGGAAGATTTTTTATTTTTATTTTTTTTCTTAGAGTATCTAAATTAACTTTGCGATAAAATTATGTATGGTGTCAACAACGGAGAAGGGACACATATATCCTTCTACTTTCATTTATTGTTCAATTATGTCCCTGTTATACTTTCCGTACAAAATACTCCTACCGTCAATCAAAGTTTTATATTTGTCCTTATTTTAACGGCCAAGACACATGGCGTTTTCTCAGAGATTGAACC